TTCCTTCTCTTCCTCCTGTTAACATCTTACACACACATTTCCCCTTTTACTTAGTCTGTTGGGACAAAAACTCTAAAGCCCAGACATCAGAATGGAAACTGAAATGAGTGAAGAGGTCAGGTGAAACCTGTGTGCAGCTGCAGAACTCAAGGCAATGCAATAATGCAATACCTGGGATTTAAAAGACAACCAATTCAGACACACAAACATCACCATCCACACACACTGCGCAGGTCAAAGGAAAAGAAAAACCCCTGCAGGCCCAACTGTGGTCAGAGTTCAGTCTCAGCACCAGTCATTCTCAGATTAGTAAGGCTTTAAACAGGCCACATTGGCCTGTCTCTGAGACTCCAGACAACAGCCCTTCTGACTGCCAAGAGGATGGCCCCATGTGGTCCATTTCCTAGGGGACACACCCAAATTAAATTATGTTAAAAATTTTCTCCTTCCTTGTGTCAAACTCTTTCTGCGTATTATCCTTAAAGTCAACCATGAAAAAAAAAAAAAAAAAAAAAAAACAACATGGAGTAATTCATGGCCCATTCCTCCTAGTCCATCTTCAGGGGAATGCCAAGTTATGAGGCCTCTCTTACTGTGCCATCTTTCATATTTGCCTCTTACTTTCCACCTCCATAATATCTGAACTATCTATCACTTCTCTAACTAATAGGTCACTTGACCTCCAGAATTATCCAAAATCCCATACTGACCCTGTGGTTTCCCTTCTCCTAGAAACACTACTCAACTGCTATGGTTTGAATGTCCTCTCCAAAACTCAGGTTGATATGTAATTGTCACTGTAACAGTTTTCAGTAAAACCTGTAAGAGGTGATTAAGACACAAGCACAACACCTTCATGAACAGATTAAAGGTATTAGCACAGAAGTGGGTTAGTTATCACGGGATCAGGCTACCAGTGCAAAGATGCACCCCCACCCAAGTTTCTCTGTCTTGTCACATGATACCACTCCAAGTGCAGCACAAAGGCCCTCATGAGATACACTATTGGAGTCTGACCAGCCTCTAGAACTGTCAGAAATCTCTGTTCTTTATAAATTACCCAGCGTGCAGAGGCCCCGCCTCATATTTTCCAGCTGTGTTTACATCTATCTACCCAAAGAGGGCAGAATCCGTGAGGGCAGAATCAAAAGAGGCCTTCACCCTTACATGCGCTAAGTAAATGCACACATGAACTGGCCAGTAATCCACATACAAGATGAGGCTTGACCATGCTGTTAAGTTGAGCTGTGGGGGACTCAGGTCAATAATTTCTGACATTGCCAGTTAAACAGAAGACCCAATGCTATTATGGGCTACTGGACTCTTTTAGAATATTTTGCTGAGTTTACACACCTATAATATTCAATAACGGAACTTAGAAAAAATGGGGTATACCTATGAATGTCCATTTTGTATCTGTGTATTCAAAGTGGTTAGGATAGATATATAGTTGCATTCTCTTAATGAATAGAATGATTTGTTCTAATGGTGTTTGTAAATAGGATCACAAGTCCGCATCTTGCACAGCAATTAACTACTAAGAAGAATATATGCAGTGTATTGTTTGTTGAAACTGTACTTCCGATTTGATTTGAAACTGTCTCATTGCTATCTGTTTATCAACAAAACTTTGAAAAAAAAAATAAATAAATAAATAAAGCAGAAGGATTGCAAATTCAAAAAAAAAAAGATGAGGCTTGAAATGAAGGTATTACGGGTTAAAGCCACTGCTTATCCTGCTTTAGGTCTCTTTATTTTAACCTGGGCTAGAGCAATGTGTCAGCTACCACCATTTTAGACATACAGCTGACAAAAGTAAACAGTCTGGCAGCATATGAAAACAGATTTGTTTTTAATTCTCTGCATTAAAAAATATGATTTCTGGAGACTATCAACTGATCTACTGTTAACATATAAAACATTTTTTAAAAACTAACTGAATGTTGCCATTGAGAACAGCTTCTAAAATTATTAGCAATTACAGAAAGAGTACAAGACAGAGATGCCCAGCAATGGTCCCAAGTAGACTTCAAGACTTCCCCATTACTTGTATCTAAAATGTAGAAGCCTCTAAGAGATTAAAAAAAAGTAAAACTCTTGAACACATTGGCCTTGGCAAGGATTTTCTGCACAGAACCCCAATTGTACAAGAAATAACGTTAAGAATCAACAAATAGGATCACAGAAAATTAAAAAGCTTCTGCACAGCAGAGGAAGCAGTCAACAGAGGGAAGAGACAACCTTCAGAATGGGAAAAAAATCTGCCAGCTATTCTCAGAGGATTAATATCTAGATGCGTAAAGAGCTAAAAAATAATCAGGATATTGTCCCACAAATAAAACAAACTACCAAAATATGGGCAATTGAAATGAACAGTCATTTCTCAGGAAAAGAATACAAATGACTAACAAATACATTTCTCTGGGCATTAGGAAAATGTAAATTAAAACAACACTGAGTTTCCACTTTACTCCAGAAAGAATGGCTATCACCAAGAAATCAACGCAACAAATGCTGGTGAAACTGGAGGTTACATTTTTGCTAAGAATGTAAACTAGTAACACCACTGTGGAAAACAGTATGGAAATTCCTTTAAAAATTAAAAATAGAGATTCCATTTGACTCAGTTCCTCCCATCCTAGATATGGTATCCAAAGAAATTAGTCATCATCTTACAGTGACACATGTATACCCATGTTTATAGCAATATAATTCATAATACCTAAATCTTAGGAGCAGCCTCTATGTCCATCAACAGATGAACAGATAAAGAAAATGCGGTTTTACACACAATGGATTACTATCATGCCATATAGACTAAGCAAGGTATTCAAAGGAAAATGGAAGCACCTTGAGACCATTAGATTGAGTGAAATAAATCAGCCAAACAAGCTTAAATATTGTATGCTTTCTCTTATATGAGGAAACTGAAATATAAATAAAAAGCGAATTAAACATAGATAATGGGAAAAAGAGACAAAGGAAATGTATGGGGAAAATGCAGCAAGGAGGAAAGGAAACACAAAAAGATGTATTATATATAAGTACCAACTCCTTACAATGAATGTAATTAGTAGAAACATGTACTAATTAAAAAGAAAAAGTGGACAAGCCTCTTCTTACATTTTTAACAGAACAGTTCATTTCGTAGAATCTTCTTAGAAACACTAGTTAAAAAAAAGGGGGCCAGGGAGTTGGCTCAGTAGAATAAGTGCTTCCCTGGCAAGGGCTTGAGTTCAATGCCTGGCTCTACCAAAAAAAAAAAAAAAAAAAAAAAAAAAAAAAAAAAAAAAAAAAAAAAAAAAAAAAAAAAAAAATCACTTAATTTCAAATTCCAAAGAGTTCCTTTATAGCTAAGAAGTTCAAATGTTGCAGTGCATTCAGCATCCTAGGAAATAAGTTCATTCAGCTAAATTTCTAAGAACTGAAGAACAAGCTAGGCATGATGGCACACGTCTGTAATCTCAGCATTTGGGTGAGACAGGAGGATCAGCATGAGTTCAAGGTCAGTGGAGCTATATAGTGAGGTCTTGTCTCAAAGGGGGAAAAAAAAGAACTGAAAAATAAGTCTAAGAACACATTAACCATCTATACCCTAACAGGCATCTTGGCAAATACCACACAACTAACTGGTCCTTATCAGTTAGGAAAGCTACACGTGCATAGCCATTATTTTTAGCTGTGACCTATTCTGCAGCAGTAGAGACAAGGGTGCCTCCCTAGTCAGAATTTTATGGCCATCAGCTTTAAGACCGTCTCTGGATAGTAAAGCATTCAAAACTGAGGCCACTGTCCCTTCCTATGAGACGTCTCAGATTGGCACTGACAGCAGTTGTGGTCAAAGTGAGAATGTTAGCTGGACTGTAGACAATCCTCTCCAAATCTGCAGGAAAATTAGTATGTTTAAAGAGAAGCTTGCTGCTGCTCACAAACTCTCAAACCATACACATCTCTTCTCTGACCTTAGGCCTTTTTTTAACCTGCAAAGTCTTTCTCAGATGAAAAAAGCCCTCAGGTTTATAAGTGATGCTTAAATAAGATTATGCTGTGGTAATGCCAAGGGATACTATTTCCTGCCTAAAACCCTGACTGGCTGCCCTCTAGCCTCAGCTCTCACATGACTACAAAAACTCCACTCACACACTTCAGCCAACAGTTGTAGTTCATGTCAAACACAACGAGAGCAAGCACCTGCTCTGAAGATTCCTATGTAGATCAACAAAAGGCCCCTGCTGAATGGTAGCAATCATTTTGAATTTCATGATTGAGTATTGGTTCATGTGCCTTCTGGAGTGAATTAATGTCTGAATCTCAAGGTAAATGACTGAAAAGTTACTCAAAAATAAAACTGGGCTTAGAACAAACTTTCTTAATGAACTCTTTTTCTCAGAAGTTGAATTGCTACACAAGATCAAAGGCTATGCCTTGACCTCAATACTTACCGAAGGATCAACCTGGTCATTGGTCACTCCTCGAAGAACTATTTTTAAAGGGTGCTTCATAAATGGAGCCAGGCAAAGGAGCCCCTCCAGGTAATAGCCAATGCCACGAAGGACACTACAGTCATGCTCCACAGATCCACCATACAGGAGGCCCGGCTGAAAATATAAGGTTGTTCCTGAAAGCAGAGAAAAAAGTTAGACACAGTCAGAACAAAACCAAGTGTTTCAGGGCAACAAGAGCAGTGAGTCCCAAGGGGGAGCAAGGGCATCAAGGCAGTTCAAAATGCCATCCCTGACAGCCCACACTTCCCTCCAAAAGCTGACTCATTATTGTCAAGCCTCGGTAACTAATAAACTGTGAATGTAATTTAATAAATTGAAATAAATATAAACCCTCCCTAAGCAGCCAAACTCATGGCAAGGCACAGAAGTAGGCTCCAGGCAGCTACCAGAGCGTCCCAGCAGCACATTCTCAGACTATGTGATTGCAGGCTTGCCAATGATGGGCCAGTGTCACAGCCACAGCTAGCACCCCTGACATGAGATTTCTTAGACATTTTACTCACCAAGCAAGATCCCCAGAAGAAGCAAATACTTTGTAGCATCTGATATTACTAATGATGGCTATCTTAATTTAATATTAAATGAAGTATTAGTAAATATTAGTATTTAATTAGTAAATATTAATTTACTAATTCTAATTTACTAATAATGGGGATACCTAAAAGCAAACCTTTGTGAACATTGAAAATTATTTGTGAAAATCATTCAACTTTTCACATATTCATATTTCTTATTGGATTTATGTATCATAGGAAAGCACTACTGATGGTGGGGGAAAGGGTGGTAAATGGGCAAACAAGGTATTTCTGATGCTCAAAAGCTTTGCGATGTCTTCTGACATAGTATATACCAAAATAAATTTAACACTAGCCAAAAGAGACATGTTTGGTCACTCAAATGGTAAATTTCTTAGGAGTTCCATAAAATAAATTTAAATTTTACTGCACAGCAAAATCTAAATCATCAGAGGGGCTAGCCAGTTAGCTCAGCAGATTAAAACGCCTGCTTAGGCAGAGCGCAGGGACTGGGTTCGATCACCCAGGATGCTATGCCAGCGCCAGCCCCTGCCTGGCCCTGGCTCCACCCCACCCCGCCCCCCAGGGCATGCTGATTGAGACTGGGTGTGGTGGCGCACACCTGTAATCCCAGCGCTTGGGAGGCTGAGAACAGGACAATCACTACAAGTCTGACGTGTGTAGTGAGACCCTGTACTAAATACATTAAAAAAAAAAAAAAAGACAAAAATAAATAAAACATCATGAGGCTGGCCAAACAGCTCAGCAGATGGAGCCAGGGGTTCAATCCCAGGCCTGCTATGCCAGCTCCGCCCCCAGGGCATGCTGAGCAGGCAAATGAGACTGGGCATGGTGGTGCGCACCTGCAATCCCAGCTCTTAGGAGGCTGTAAACAGGAGGATCACTGCAAGTCTGATCTCATAGGAAGTCCCAGAACACCGTACAGACGCTTCCCTAATAAAATTAAAAAAAAAAAAAAAAAAAATCGCAAGTATTTTTTTTTTTTTTTTTTTTTTTGGAGGCACTGAAGATTGAACTCAGGACCTGGCACTTGCCAGGCAAGCGCTTATTCTACTGAGCTATCTCCCTGGCCCCATGAGGATGATATTTTGATCAAAGTGACTATAACTCAAAGAGAAGAATTCTGGGTCATATAGCTTAAATAGTGTTAGTCACAATGCCATGAGAAGGATGGTGTCTAAATTTTAAGAAAGGAGGGGAAATGACATGGGATGTGAGCAGGATAAATGTCTTACTCTTTAACTACACTGCAGATAGTAGGACAGAGGGCCAGCCAAATAGCTCAGCGGATTAAAGCACCCACAAGCAGGCACACGGGCTGGGGATTTGATCCATGCCGGCCCTGTCCCTGCAGCGCACTGAGACGGCAACTGAGACTGAGTGTGGTGGCGCACACCTGTAATCCCAGCTCTTGGGAGGCTGTAAACAGGCAGATTACTACGAGTCCAAGCTAGTAGTGAGACCCTGAACACCCTGTAGACCCTTCCCTAAAATAAAATTTAAAAAAAAAGAAAGAAAGAAATACAGATAGTAGGACAGGATAAAGTTAACTGAACCAAATTATTCTGAACACACTAGTCAAAAGTGCTGAACAAAACTCCAGCAATGTCAAAGTAAATGAGCCAAGGAAAACATAAGGAATGATAGCTGGCACAGGGCATCTGAGTATCTCATGCCTGAACCCTGTTCTCCACACTTAGAGCTAAACACAGAGACAAATCAGCACACCTCACATAGCCCAGAGCCACATATGAATCCAAGCTTGTCTTCTTTTTAGAACCCATACATATTAAAGGTTAGAGACTCCTTGGTGGAATATGCGTGCATAAATAGAGTTCAGAGAGTCAACTAAAGGGTGTTTTTTTGGTTTTTTTTTTCCCCATGGTATCCTACAGCATATAAAGATTTTAACCACAAAAAAGAAAGCTAGAGGCTAGGGAGATAACTTGGTGGTCTAAGTACCTGCCTGGCAAGAGCAAGGATGTGGGTTCAACCCCTAGTACTGCATGCTGTGTCAGCCACCAAAACTGGGCATGGTGGCACACACTTATAATCCCAGCACTGGGGAGGCTGAGATAAAAGGATCACTAGGAGTCTGAGTTGTGTAGCGAGACCCTGTACCAAATCCATATATAAATAAAATGTTTAAAAAAAAAAAAAGAAAAAAGTTAGACACCATCTAAAATTTATCAATTGGGAGCAGCTAAAGAAATTATTAGCTAGCAATATAATGAAAATTATACTATAGCCTACAGGACTATGGAGGCAGATCTGTAAGTTTTGGCATTAAAAGCACTCAAGATATTCATGCTAGTGAAAAAAAATGCTAGCTGTGGAACAGTATGCAAAGCATGACCCTATTGATTTTGGGGTACATGTAAGCAAATACTGTGATAGCGGCAATTTCTGGAGAAGGACTAGAAGAAAGAGGAAAAGGGATTTTTAACATATTTTGCTTATGCTTGTGTAACTTTAAGACACAAAGATATAATTTCAGCACACACAAACTATCTCAAACTTAGTGAAAGAAATTTAACGGGACAGTATAAAAGGACTTTGAAAAGTTTTGTCCAAATGTTAGCAAAAAGCATTTTTATTATAAAAAAGAAGTACCCAGAGATGGTGGCACATACCTTTAATCCCAGCACTTGGGAGGCTCAGGCAGGACTGATGCAAGTTCAAGACTGGCCTGGGTAACATGGTGATTTCAATGGCCAATTTGAACTATATCATGAGGCCCTGTTTCAAAAAAGTGATTCCTTGCTGATACAAAATTGTTGGCTTTCTTTTCTTCTTTTCTTTTTTGCAGAACCAGGGACTGAACTCAGGCCCTTGCACTTGCCAGGGAAGCGCTTATTCTACTGAGCCATCTCCCTGGCCCTGGTACGGCTTTCTACCTTACTTAAGTCACATGTATGCTCCTCAGTCAATCATACCACAGACAGGAAACAATCCTTCAGTCAAATATGGTATTTCGATAACATGGAATGGTAAGTCTGTATCATAATCACCACCCATAGCTCCCCTGATTCTGAATGGTACACCCTCTGAACATTCCAAGTGAATGATGGCTTCTGTAACAAAAAGTGATTACCAAAAGTCTGAACACAACAGTTATTTACACCATTAAAAACAGGGAAAAACAAAGGAGCAGTTAAGTAGAATGCACAGGTACTTTCAGATTGAACAGAAAAGGAGCTTACCTGTTTGGTTTATTTCAATTCGAGAACCATTAGTTATTTTGTCCAACAGTCTTATGAAGCTGGCTTCAAAATCTGTGGAGAAAGAAAAAACAGACTGGTCTCGAGTTAGGACACGTCTGATCCAGATACCACAGTAAAGGGTGGGTTACTTTTGGCATCACTACTGGGTTTTCCTGGGGAAGTCAGTGAGCTCAGGAGACGAAGAACTTAAAGCAGGGAGGAACAGCTGACTAGCACATTATTAGCAAAATGGTGCAACAATTCAGCTTTCCTATTCTGTAAAAAGCAGCATCTTTACCAGCAATCTACTGAGACACTACCTGGAGCCGCACAAAACCCATTATGACCACCTGCCCTTGGATGCGGGGGACAAACCAAATAAAACAGCAGAAAGTATTCCTCTTTGCTCCCAACAAGAAAGGGGAGGTTCAAGAGGACCAGACCTCAGTTTCACAGACATACATCAGTGCCTTTTTCTTTCAACAAAATGTCCTTTCTTCCTTCTTCTCTCTTTGGGATCTACAACTATCTAACTAGTTCCAAGTTTGTCTGTCTGTTTCCCTTCATTAAAAGAGTACTAGAATATAGTACAGTATTACTGTTACCTATTTTTAAATGTATGAAAAAGACCAGATGTTAATAAATGAAATTATCTTGATGATAAATCTAATTTTATATTATTTATATTTTAATGTTCAAATTTGTTTCAATGCCTTTTATGAACAGATTGTTATCTCACATATAAAACTCCTGTCATAGCAGATTCTGCAATCTGTACAAAGGGCAGCCAGCTAGAAGTCAGACAAACGCCATTAAATCCTGAAATACGTAAAACTGGCTAATAACAGTTGCAGCATATTTATCATTCACTTGACACCATACATTCTGTCATTTAAACCTTAAAACTACAAGGCAATAGGTGTCACCCATTTTACAGAAATGAGCCCCAAGATTATCAACCAGCCTAATAAGGTCACATGACCAACAAGTGACAGCTGGGATCTGAGCCCAAACCTGTCCTTCTTCTAGTCCTCACCCTTACTCATGCCACGACACAGTTTGCCTCTACTCCATTTAACTACTTATAGCCAAGCTCTTATCCAGAAAACTATAGCAACTTCATCTGGAGGCTGAAAGGGCTTGCAGCCAATGTAACAGGTCCTCAACCAATTTCTTTTTAATGAAAGTAAAATAGAATGGATTGCAGTAGTCCCCTTTATCTGCAATTTCACTTTTCATGGTTTCTGTTATCCAGTCACAATCTGAAAATATTAAATGTAAAATTCCAGAAATAACCGATTCATTAGTTTTAAACTGCACATCATTCTGAGCTGCCTGATGAAATCTCACACCATTCTATTCCCTTCTGTTGGGGACAAGAATCATCCCTTGGTCCAGTACAGCCAAGCCACATATACTATCCACCCACTAGTCATTTAACTGCCATCTCAGTTATCAGATCCACTGTCCTGGTACCACGATACTTGTGTTCAGGTAATCATTATTTTACTTAATGATGGCCCCATGGCACAAGAGTAGGCATGTTGGCAGTTTAGCTATGCCAAACATAGGCATATCACAAGTATGTACAGAAAACAAATGTAGGGTACATACAACTCAGTTATTATCCACAGTTTTAGGCATCCACTAGGAGGCTAAGAACACATGTGCCACAGAAAAAAAGGTACTACCGTACACTGCAGTAGCTATACACAATGCACAGTAACTGTACACTGCTCATGAAAACTTAGCTGCAGTTTAACTTACCTTCATGTGAGTTGTATAAATGGAATCACACAAACTTTAAAGTAACTGAATTATTGAGTTAAACTAGAAAATATGTGTAAGTTTTTGTACAGAATATTCTATTACTGAGGGCTGGCAAGATAGTGGAATAAGTGCTTGCTCAGGCAAGTGCAGGGACTGGGGTTCCATTCCCAGCACCACATGCCATATCTGCCCTGCCCCAGCTGTGCTGAGCCAGCTGAGTCCTGGCACTAGGAAGGCTGAAAACAGGAGGATCATTACCAGTCCAGGAAGTGCAGTGAGACCCTGTACAAAATACATTTAAAAAAAAAAAAGGAATATTCTATTACTTAAAAAAAAAAAAAAAATCAGGCTCAACCTGTATCACAATGCCACTTTCTTGTTAGGTGTATAGCAAATGCAAAGTACTACCTACATACAGGAAAAGAGAAAGTCCTTATTTTGCTCAAGCTTTCCAAGTGCCTAAATGAAAAGAATAAGTAAAGCCTAAAATTAAAACCCCATAGTTTTTTTTAACAGATTAGGAAAGAATTTTTTTTTAACATGATTTTAAAAAATGTTGTCTTGTTTTGCAATCCACAAGGGAGCTTAAGCACAAACATGGTCAGAAATGTCCAGCAGGAACATGAGTAGGAAAAGAATGCGCACCATCTAAGTCACACCAAACAGATCATTCAGAACTAGTATTACAAAAACAACCTCTCCGAGCTAGTTCCTGAGTCCTGAAAACAGTGAAGATATAGCTCCATCACCTGGTGTAAATAATATCTCAGTTCCCCTAATAGATCAGTCTCTAAACTTCTTTAAGATGCATGTGATTTCTTGTCCATTCACCTCCCCACATGACTCTTCCCTTGCAAGACTGTTCCTATAAGCACCAAATTTCAGACATCTAAAAACCTTACAGGAAAAATTTCAAAATAAGCACAATTTTAATATACTGTTTAGGAATACATGATATGGTTATAAAATTATACACACAGTGAAAGTAAATGCCATAATGATCAGGACTTGGCTACCTCCAGGAATATAAAGGACAGCTCTGAACTGGAGGAAGTACCCAGATGTTGACTGGCAAGGTTGTACTTCTTGACCCGCATGAAGGTTACACATGCATTCATTTTACAATCCTGCAAGCACTATTTTATGCCTTAGGTATTTCTTATGTTCCTATATACAACACTGTAAGTAAAATTTTATACTACTGGGAGACTTTGGGGAAGATAGCAGATTGGTGAGCAAAAAATAAAGTCTCTTTGACATTTGGTGCCCAGGCCCTGGAATATAACAACATGAAGAGGAAAAGAAAAAGGGAAGCAGATCTCCGGGACCCAAGAAGGATCAAAAGCAAGAAGTGAGGCCCATGGAGAGCAAACAGATTTCAACGAAGAATGAGGTGATGACAGGTGGTACTTTCTAAGCCCAGACTGCAGACTCACGGTGTTGTGGTTTGGGTTTTTGCAAGGGGGACAGTACAACACAGGACATATTTTATAAGATTATTTTATAATCACTAAAAGAATCATATACAAAGAGTGCAGGAAATTAGTCCATACACTAAAACTCAAAGAATCCAGCTGAGGGCCTGGATACTAATATTGTGCATGAATCCAGCTGAAGACCTAGAGCCCATAACAATGCCTCTCACAAATCCAGTTGGAGGCCCAGAGCCCAAAACAATGTCTCATGCAGGCCGGCTTCCCAGGTCTGCACTGGGAAGGCCCAAAGGTCAGTGGTGGAAGCTAGAAAGTCTATGCTCGTCAGATCAAGGATCTGTGCCAACAGAATGAGGGATCTGAACTACAGCCATGAAGCAACACTCAAAGAACCAGAACTCCCCTGGTACCACAGCCATCCTCAGTAACAGTGAGGTCCCCAGCTTCTGCAGCAATGAGGAAAGCTGAGTTCCCATCAGGAAAGCCTATGTGAAAAGCCTGTCCTGCAGGCTGAGCCATATACCAGCTTCCCCTCTGGAGCCAGGAAGCCATGCTCAAGATGATGACCAGAGCTCCCCCAAAATGAACTGTAGCCATTCTCAGAGACAACAAGGTACAGAGCTCCTACTCTGACAAAACAACCCAGTTCATCAGGAAATCCAACATGACAAGGTACTCCAGCATGACAGCCCAAGCAGCTTCCAACAGCTTCCGTAACAGCCTCTCAATGTCTTCAGTTTTGCCTGTTATGCTGTTGGTAACAATCCTGAGGTGGGCTTCCCACACCCAGAACGACACAAGTTCAATTCAGCGGGATGTAACAAGTTGACTACCAGTTAGAAATCCACTACACATGTTTACTACTGGTAACCTCAGAGACCTCCACAGAGAAAAACACCAGTGGAATAGAGCAATGGACACAGTGGATTGTAGTGGCTGGTCTATTATTCAGGCTCAGACGTCCCCCAGTGGAGGACAATTAGCCGGGAGCCATCTTGGAGAGTGGCCAATGGAGCTGGGAGCTCAGACTTCAGAGCAATTGCTGGCTCCATCTATCAGCTCCTAGCACTGGTAGGCTAAGGGAGCTGAGTTCAAGCTGGAGTAAGTCAGGGAACCTGTTTGAGCTGGCAGGGAGGCAGGTTCAAGCCAGAGGAGATGCACTACCCCACCATAAAGCCACGGCTGACTTTTTTTTTTTCCTTTTTACTCTTTCATTTATTAATTTATTTGGTACAGGGTCTCACTACACAGCTCAGACTCACAGTGATCCTCCTGTCTCAGCCTCTTCAGTGCTGGGATTATAGGTGTGCACCACCACAACTGGTTCCAGTTTCTGGGCATGGTGCACCCAGGATCCCAGAACTGGCACAGCATGTAGTACCAGGGACTGAACCTGGGTCTTTGCACTTGTCAGGCAAGCACTTAACGACTGCCAAGCTATCTCCCCAGCCCAAGCCACTGCTGACTTTCTGGAATAACTCAACAAAGATCTGCATTCTATCTCTACAAAATTGTGGACCAATGACAGCAGAGACAAACCTCAAAGTAGTCTTTTTTTTTAAATCTTTCTTTCCTTTATTTTCCTCTTCATTGTCTAATCTTGCTTATGAGTATGACAATGGTTTCTAGTTTTTGAGTGTGTGGTGGTGGTTGCGCTCATTTTATCCTTTTCTCTTTTCCTTCTTTTTCACCATTTTCCCAAACTTTGCATGATGTCCTCTAGCTTTGCTATTACTCTCTTCCTCTTCTATTTCTCAATTTTCACCCTGGCCACTTTTAAATTTTCACCCAAGTGTAAAAATCACCATATTGAGGACTTATTTACTACATATAATTTTCTTGTTTGCTTTAGATTTTGTTATATAACCACAAATCTGGTTCATATAGTTAAAGGGGCAAATTAATGTTAACCTCAGTTTGTCATTTTCTGGGCTGTGTTTTATGCTATTGCTGATTGCACCACTTTAGCCAAAGTGACATAACTGTTCTAACTAGCTGTTCTTCCTGGTACACTAAGACTCAGATTGCTTAAGGATCAAATATAATACTATACAAGGGTGCCAAACCAGGGTCTGGGCCAAGTAGGCAGCAACTTCTCATCCCCCTAAAATTGAAGAGGTAGGATTCTGCAGCAAACTCAAAACCCAAAAGCCAGCTATACCTGGAAGATATCTCTAAGTAGATATTTCCTAAGGGTTCTTAATACTAGCAAAGCTACTCCATATAGACAATTCACATGCATCAACCCAGAAATTAAACTAAAGAAAGAAACAACAAAAAAAATTAAAAAAAAAAAAATGAGAAGACACTTAAACAAGACTCAACCCCAGACATCCCGTTCACCAAAGACAAAACCAGGAGGCAATCTAAAAAAAAATCCACCTGGCCTCTTTCAGGTGGTAATAACAAGGCAAATGAATGAGACTCTAGAAAACATCAAATCAGAAATACTATCTCAAGTAACTACAGAGATGGTAACAATGAAAAACATGTTTAGTGACATGTTTATTTGTATCTAGAGCAGATACAAATAAAAATTAAAAAATAAAGGAACTTAGGAAAATGATGGAAACCATAAATGTATATATAGAAAAGAAATGAAATCCATAAAACAGATTCAAGTAGATATCTAAAAGACTAAAAATTCCACTGAAAGCATCCATAGCAGAATCAATCAACATGAGGACAGCCTCTCAGACACAGAATACAGGCTTGTGATTAGTGATCATGAAAAGACAGATTTCTTAAAAATAAAAAGGGACTACAAGTAATCAACCCAGCAGCTGTTGGATGATGCAAAAAAGAATAATATAATATTCATTGGAGTCAATAAAAAATAGCAGAAGATACCACAAATAATATTTAAAAAAATTTTTCACAGATATCATGGCAGAAAACTTCCTGGCAGGGAAAGAGAATTTGACATACATTTTAATAAGGCATATAGAGGTCCAATTAGCCAAATCAAAACCAAATCTGTAAGATTCCAGAAATTTTACATGAGAACAGATTAAAAACAGAGAAAAGAAATAGATGACCTATGAAGGAAACCCAATCAGAATCACAGCTAACTTCTCAACACAAACCCTTAAATCAAGGATAGCTTTAAGTATTTGAAACCCTAAAAGAAAACAACCTCCAACCCAGATTGACAGATCCCAGAAAACTGTCATTTACTTCCTTCCTCTCCCTTCCCCTTCCCTCCCCTCGCTCCTTTCCCTTCCCTTCCCTTCCTTTTCTTTTCTGCTTTTTGAGACAGGGTTTCACTATGTAGTTCAGGATAGCCTTGAACTCACTTTGTAGCTCAGGCTGG